TATCTGTCTGGCTCCTAGGCTGATTTATGTGCGATGAAATTGGCTCTAGCTTGTTCATTGAGATAATTTTATTAAGAAAATAGTAATTTGTGGGTACAACGACGGCTTATTGCTTGTTACTCACGAAAGTAAAAATATATTATGATACAAAGTTACTATAAAACTGTGTACTTACTTTTTTTAGGAGAATTCTAAGGGCGTCCATAAATTAAGTGAGGTATTTTTTTGAATTGTCTGATCCTCCCTCCCCCCTTGGTAAGATTTCATGAAATTTTATTCAACACCCTCCCCCATCCCCCAATATCACGTGAGATTTTTCAAAATGTTGGTTTTTCACGTAAATGCGTTGGATTGTTATTGCAAAAAGAAAAAAAAATCCATGTACATTTAATTTTTAAGCATGTACAATCTGTATTAAATGAATTATAAAATCGGTAAAAATAGTATAATTTTTTTGTTTCTATCAGAAAAAAAATTACGTGTTATTTGCCGAGATATTGAAATTTGCCCCCGCCATCTCCAACGTAAGATTAGGTGAGATTTGAGTCTACCTCCTCCCCCCCTTAAACATTTCACGTAATTTATGGACGCCCCCTAAGCATAGCATTAGACTGTAGTCTAATATCTACAAAGACACAAACAAAACACATAACTAATACAATGATTTCATATTTTATTTTGCATTGCCTTTCATATCGAGAAAACACTTGCGTGACGTTCTAGACCTAATCTATGGAGCAAACGAGTACGCGACTGATCCCCTAAATGACCTAAACTCGAACTAATCCTCATTTCAATCTCCCTAACAACAATCAGTGTTAACACCTTGAAGATAGCACGTGTAAAACAATTAACAATATAAATGAAGGAGATTTAGGATAAAACTGACCTTTACGACCACCAGGCCGAGCCGACCGTAATCTTTACTGGTCCCGCCAAATTGACCCATAAACTTGATATCACCGAAAAAACTTGGAACAGAAAAACCATTGTCAGGTCAAAGTTGTTCAAACTTCGAACTTCGTTGTGAAGAGTATCATGTTTTAGAAAATAGGTCAGATATGTTATAGTAGATCCTTTATAAACAATCTCTTAATCTGTACGTTTAGAATGACGGCAAACTAATGTTTGTCTTGTATGTATTTAATTATCATGTATATAATCATTATGTATTATCCAAGGTGTCCGAAAATTTGCACAACAATTTTTAAAGGCTTCTTAGCAATGTTTATTTACAAACACCATATCGATCATAATATATACTGATCTCTAACTTGCCTGTCTAACGTGAAAAGTATGGCATATCCTTTTATACTCTTATGTAGAAGGTCCATACTCTATCAGTGGATTAACATGAACTGTTATGTTGATAATGATGATAACGCAAAGTAAACAAATATAATGAGATATAGGTATTATATAATTAACTAGCTGTTACCCGCGACTTCGTTCGCGTGAAATTATTCATATTTCTTGTTTATTTGTACTTTTTTGACCCGATAACGTGTTGATTGGCGAGGCGTATTTGAGAGCTAGTATGAAACGGAACGTTTATTGTCTACTCAAGATGGCGACTGCGGTTAGTCTGTCAGTGGCATTAAAATGAATAAATAAAACGAAATAATCTCCGTAATCCGAATTTTGCGGATATAAGTTGTCGACTCGAAATCGATATTTTTTTATGTTTTGTTATTCAGCTAATGTTTCGATCGAGTCTCCGTACCCCTTGACGAAATGATTAATATAGATAATAAGGTAGGGAGAATGTCTCTCCCTATATATCCTTCCATTTGCCCTAATAATTTCAAACATCGGAGCAGAGTGAAACTTCTGTATGTCCTTTGCGACATTACTTTATCCTCGTCACACGAAGCTAAGTTTCTTGCGGTAAAGGACAGCTTGATATTTACTGGCGAATATAATATGGCGGCCGTGAATTATGTACGGAACTTCGTTGGCGTTGGAAGAATACTAATATTGTACGTAATATATTGATAGATTTAGGAAAAAGTTGTTTGTGTAGGTAGGTGTTTGTTAAGATTTTCGATAGAATAGGTCTTTTGTATATTTTATGAATGTGAAATTAGTAAAACGGTAATGAGAAATTGATTTAAGCTGTCTTATGCAAGAGCTGATTAAGATTTAATAAAAACTAGCCTGACTATAAGTGCCACTGCCAGGCAAGAGGCCTCGGGTTCGATTCCTGGGTCGGGCAAAGTGTTAATGGATTTATTAAAAAAAATCTCAGTAGTAACACAGAGTCGGGAATCGTGCTCGGTATATGGCAATAGGCTCACAGGATCACCCCCTATTACATGGGACTTATAACATAAACAGTGAAAAGTGGGTGTTACATTGTACAGTGGCAGGCGTTAATTGCGTAATGTGCACCTCGTGGATGAAGGACGTGATGTTATGATGTTATATTTTGGATCAACATGTTTTAAAAAATCAGAAGAAGTCTGAACTTACAACAGACAAGTCGATCTAAATTATTACCTACATTTATTCAGTTCTAATTTGCCATAAAACCATTATGTTAACAAAATAGACAGAGTACTTCATATAGATAGGTACTCTAAAATATTAAGGTGCTAAAACTTTGTATCAAAACAACGTGAAGAAGATACGTTTATTCATAATATATTAAACTAGAGATAATCCGCTTCCCATGATCCGCTTAGCAGTCACGAAATAGAACGCGATCATAAAATACTGCGAAATAAACAAAAACGACATGATGAGACGCTTGAATTTAATTCGATATAGCTATTGTTATATGCGAAAGTAAATTATACATGGATTACCTATTGATACTGACTGACTGCCTCATTGCTCGAGTGGTCGCAACTGCGACTGCCGGGCAAAGGGTGTCGGGTTCGATTCAGAGACCAGGCAAAGCATTACTGAGCTTTTTTTTAAAAAAAAAATCTCAGTACCTAGTAGCACGGAGTCTGGACACGTGCCCGGTATATGGCAATAGGCTTACCCTTTATTACATTGTCGCGGAGAACCTAACGGGTAACCGGGGCTCCGTCTCGACGTGCAGGAGAAGGAACGGGGTGGTTTTTAGTCAGTAAGAGTCTGACACTCCCTCCCGCCTCACCCAGGCGGGAGCAGTCATTCGATGATTTTCCCCCCTTAAAAAAAAAACCCTTTATTACATGGGACTCATAGCATAAATAGTGAAAAGTGGATGTTAATCTGTACAGAGTGTACAGTGGCATAAGTACCGTTAATGTGCGCCTCTGCCTACCCCTTCGGGAATGAAAGGATCACGCCTTTTGTTGTTATATTTTGTGATGTTATGATACCTACTGATATACAAATATAAATAGAGAATTTTCTACCTAAATGAATTAAATGTCTAATCGACACCTAAAAACTAACATAAAGACCTCAATCAGAGAAAGTGTAAATGTGATAAGCATTTTTTCCTAGCTATATTAAACCCCATGTAATAGGGTCTGAATTTATATGTTTATAAACTGAGCGATTGCTGAAAATTTCATAAAATCGAAAGCCGAATATTTATTCGCAAAAACTAACAATCGAAACAGCAGTTGTAGCCAAATGCCATTTAGCGCTTGTCTACATGTAGAATAGAAAACCAAATTATATGGAATTGACACTTGTCAGTGTCATCCCCATACATTTAGTTTTCTCTCTCTGGTGCTAAAGTGGCGTTTGGCTAGAGGCACAAAGCAGAGATCTTTGATGCTTATTGATCCAACGATAATATGCCTTTCCAAAAAAATCTTGATACGAAGAAAATGTAACTATCTATTGACGTAATGCAAGCTTATGCAAATCGACATGTTCTTGTTAAATATTTCATACAAATAGGCTTAGCAACAAGTGAGTTTACCTTGCAGGCTTACTGAGAAATTGTGAGCTAATAAGTGGGTACTACCAGTAGTTTGAACTTCCAGCAACTGCAGTTCATTATAAATTCTTCATTTATGATTCTTAGTAAACTGTCTTTGTACGTATAATCAAAGATATTGACAAACAGAGAGCGTTTAGCGAAATTGCATTAGGTAATAGCTACCTATGTTCGTTTTATGAACATAATTTTAATAATTTCACGTCTTTAATCCCCGAAGGGGTAGGCAGAGGTATACATTACGGCACTTAATGCCACTGTAGAATGTAACACCCACTTTTCACTATTTATGTTATGAGTCCTATGTAATAGGGGGTGAGCCTATTGCCATCTACAGACTCATTTCGAGATTCCGTGCTACTACTGAGATTTTATGAAAAAACCCGTAATACTTTGCCCGACCCGGGAATCGAACGCGAGACCCCTTGCCCGGCTGTCACACTTGCGACCACTCGACCAACGAGGCAGTTCGTTTTATGACTCATATGTCGGAATACTGAAACGCTACTCAATTTTAAGTCGTGCTTAAGTATAGTTCTATCTCTACAAATTCTTTGTAAAATGACAGAGACGGCACGATATTTGAGCACGACTTAAAATTGAGTAACGTTTCAGTATTCCGGCAATAGTATAAAATACAATACTATTCAATTGTCAAAGGTATCGATATGTTTATCGATCGATTTATCCTTCTATAATGAAAGAAACGTCAACTAAATACTTTACTTTTTTCCTAAACATTGCAAATAAATTAATTAACCTGCGACTTTTATTCCTGCGCTGCGTGAGTAATGAACAAATTAATTGATTGCCCATGAACTTGTAATTTATAAATTATTTACTTATACACCAACAAAACACTACCATACTTCCTACGTATAAGCGTGAACTTTCAAAAGTTACATAAAATGATGGATATTTATGTTTGTTTGTCCCAAATATTCTGTTACCGGTATTACGAGTCTTGAAATTGGCCTGGATCCAAAAGCAGTTTACTTGTTCAAACGATGTAAACTTTGACGATTATTAACTCTACGTCCACGTTATAATGTAACAATGATTAGTATACAATAGACTGCAACACTCCAATAACTACAAAATATCAACTCGACAGAAAGACATTTCCTACAATTCCGGAGCGCTGTATTCACCTCGCATTAGTTAATCCTACCATGCGACCGTTCGTGTTCATTTTAAAGAGGAAATAAAACAAACTAAACAACCGAGCCAAACAGGAGACGTTTGAATATAGCCGGGTATAATCTTGGCGTGGTACAGTGAACTAATTACTGTGAGAGACTCCGCGTGAGAGCAGTGTGCACGCATACGGCAACCCTTCAGTGCGACAGAGACGGAAGTGGGCAGTTTTCCAAGATGAATTTGATGTTTCGGAAGAACTTCAGCGGGGAGAAAACCGTCTCGTCGAGCGGGGGTGGGGGGAAGGCGCGGGGCGCGCTAGGTGCAGGGAGGAACGCCAAGCGCCGCGACCGCGAGCGATACTCCTGCATGGAGGAACACCACTACAAAACCCACATATTCTTCTCAGCTGCACCTCGGGCCAGTGCGCAGTACAACGACCTCACAGGTAAACGTACGTGCCCAGTGACTGTGAACCGCCGAACTTATCTCGTGTTTGTGCCTAAACTTTCTTAACAACTTTTCAAGTTTAAGTGCTGACTCCGTGCAGGGCCAACGAGTCCAGTAATTTGTGAAGTTTGCAGTGACCTCGATAATTTATGTTAAAACACGGCACACATGAAACTGTCCAACTATAAATACATTATTTGACAGGTGACGCAGTGTTTAGACACGAGTTCATTACACACGCTACTAAAACAGGCAGTTAACAACGTAACAAGTGCTTCTAATGTAAACAAACCACTTAATTTGTGTGTCTAAGCTTGATGTTGCAACTTTGCTTAAATCTCCAGTTGGGTGGAACTAGTGTAAATCGGTTCAAACTGGTTCAGTTTTGGCGCTAAACACCAAACATCCCGAGGTTACTTCCCGCGTAAGTGTTATGACACGTATATCATACAGTATTATAATTGGCACGATTTAATCGACTCTGTACATTACTAACCTTTGAGGGATTAATCATTTGAATCGTTTGAAGATCATCAATATAATGTCAAAACGTAAAGGTACAAAGTTATTTTGTGTCTAACTTTATTAGTGTGTAGACCTGTGTTAGTTTTAGATGTTTAAGTATGTATTGACAGCCTATCTGTACATGTACATAGCTGTAAGACTTTACTTTGACTTTTATTTTTTGTTAACAATAAGTTAATAAAACCGGCCATGCTTTAATTATAGGTCGTATAGTAACATAATACCTAGAATCATGGGTTCTTAGCTATAGATACCTATCTAATCGGTTTCCGGTATTGGTATAGCGGTATTGTTAGAATGGCAATTTGCGAAATTATTTAACTGTGTCTATGTACATACGTTGCTCGCTTGCGCAAACTTATTAAACAACTTATATTCCTGGATTAACATCAATGAACTAACTTATGTAGCCCAAGAAGTCGCTTAAAGTACGTTACACTGACTTAAATCCATAATGTAAAGTCTTAAGAACTTTCTCTTCTTCCAACTTTGGGCTTAAAAGTATCTACAATAAAATTTTACCCAAAAAATCTAACAAATCAATTAGAAAGAGCATATAAACCAATTTAAATTAAATATAATTTATTTAAATTTAATTACATTGTGCAATATGAATAAATAAATAACTCCTTCAAAAACTTATATAACCTTTCAAATGTTCACAGAACGATGCGGGCCTGTAATAGGCGGTGGTACAGGGCCGGACCCCGAACCGCCGCAGCCTCTGGTGACGAGGGAGCCCTCAGTGTCCCTCCTACGATGGGACAGGGGCCCGGTGACCACTACCACTGTCCCGACCACCACGGACCGGCGCCGGACGGAACCCGTCTCTCTCGCCACGCTACAGAAAGACTGCTTCGTTATCCCGGCGCACGCGCTTGATCGGTTTCTGCCTGATGGGGTACCGGTGAGTGCTTATTTGGTTATTGTAAATTTTTTTAGCAAAATCACCAGACAAAAATTTTTGGGTCGTCATTCATCAAACATAAAAAGTATCAACTTAGATAAAAGCCTACCTACTTAGCGACATCTTTCAATAATACGGCAACAAAGACTAAAGTAACTTTCCTAAAATACATTGAATTTTACAGAATAAACCAAAAGCTATCGCTAACAGTATTTGAACACCATCTTGATAGTACAATTTATCATAATTAGCAGTGATAGGTACTATAGCGGGCGTCATTTGTGTAGTTGATAGCTATCCTTAAGCGACCCAAGAATTAGACGGCTAGACAAGAATATAATTCTCGTGGACAGTTACAAATCGTAACCAATTATTTTTATTGTCTCAACGAAGTAAAGACTTTCTTACTAAACGTATTGTACAGCTATGGTATTTTCTAATTAAAAAGTGAAAAAGTACGACTTTTAAATATTCCTCTTTTCTATTTCAGCTTCCAGTTCCGCCTCCAACGCCAGAAAAAGGAATGACAACAAAGACTGCACAAAACTCCCTTAGCATCCTTGAAATAGCTGACCCCAAACTTTGTATATTGGCCCATCTGATGAGTCCGTTGGAGCCAATAGAGCCAATATTGGAATCCCCGCTTGCCAAACCTTTGATAAGACAGAAGTCTGCGGCGGCAGAACTTTTGAACGAAGTAGCACAGGCCAATACTGCTGTAGGAGGGATGCTGTTAGCGAATATGGAGAAGAATGCAGAATTTCCATTCATATCTTATTATGTGATAAATACAACGCAAACAGACCCTTTGTTATTCTATAATAACATGAGATGTGCTTCCTTGAACAAGTTTGATCCGAAGACGATACGGTACTCGGCAGCGCATACACTAGACCTGTATAGTGAAGTGGCGATGATCTGCAGACCTCCTTTCAATGATTTAGCTGGTGGACCGAAGAAGTCACACACACCTACAACTGGATTCATCATTAGTGTTTATAAGGTACCTAATAATTTTCCTGTTTATAATAATTGAAGAAATCCATTTTTTTATGGCATAAGCCGGTAAACGAGCAGACGGATAACCTGATGGTAAGCAACGGCATCGCCCATGGACACCTGGAACACCAGAGCCATTACAAGTGCGTTACCGGGCTTTTGGGATTAGGATTTTGTAACTTTGCCCCCACCATAAAAATTGTAACTTTTTCTGTATTACTTAACTTCATTTTCTACACCATTTAAAAACTCAATGTCTTTTTGCAGGTGTTCGAAGGCGACGATGGTGAGCGCTTCGAAAGAAATTGGCTATACTGGACGGGGGCGCGAATGCTTTACCGGCACCTGCCTCACACGGTGGGCATGAGGAAGATAGCGTTACACAAGTCTGTGGCTGCCCACGGAGACAAGATGTATCTGTTAGTGTGCGAGTGTGCCAACTTAATGGACGATCTGTCGGGGGCCGCGATGCTAGTGACAGCACTGAGAGCGCGTCTGTGTGGGTACACCGGCCTATACAGGCCTATACAGACTTTCTAGTAAAGGAACGTAGGCCTAGATGGCCTTGAGTGTGTTGTTTTCAATTTTGCGGACATCAATAGTTTAGTGTAGGTTAGTTCTGTTGGGTCATGAATTTGGAATATAAACATCACTATAAAAGAAACTTTTCGCGTCTTTAGTGGCGCTAGCGTAGCATATGGCATCTTGACGCATATACCTTATACCAGCGCCACCCGCCACCTTAAACAACCGACTACAAAATAATAATTGAACAATAAAACAAGTAATAAGAATAACAAAGGATGAATAATAACAAATTCATGACCTGACTCAAAATTGGATCTCTATTTAGTCGATCTAGATGTCCCAGCAAAATCGGTCATAAACAGCACACGTGAACAAACGGACCAAAGTATTAATATTACATTTAAGGTTATCTTAAATGGTGTACAATATTTGACTGGGTACAGGCGAGTCGAGCCGAAGTGTTCTTGATCTAGATATAAGAAATTTTAATCATAAAACGAGTGATTTTCCTCTGTAGACGCCATTTTTCTCGATTTCTCACTATACTTTTGATATGATCTACTAACGCGAATCACCTCACTCTTAACAGTTTTCTAGATGATAAAAGATATTTAATAAATGATAGAATTCGATAATATTTTGTTATATTTGGGTGAAGTCTTCCATAGAACGGCGTACGAACCCAATAATTACCTACATGTTCGATTGATACCGAGATTTAGTATAGGATGGTAAACAGCTCAAATAACCCCTTTTCTATTTTTGCCTAAAGTCTTTTGAAAGAAAATTATTTTTCGACTTTTCCAATTTTCTGACATATCTCGAGATACATATCACTAATCTCACGAGTTCAATCGAATCGAAAATAAATATTTAAATCCATTGCCTATCTATGTACCTACTTCGATTTCACTATTTCATAATAAAAGTATCTTGATTAAACTTAGGAATAAAAAAAATTGTGATGCTAACAAAAAGTAAAATAGTTCGCCTTAAAATTAACAAAACCGTTGCTATTTTAGAAACGCACAAAATTATTATATTTATGCTTAATTCTGAATAGGACAAACATAAATAATAATACAGATACGTATTCAGTAAGAGTATTTATTTAAAAATCGTTATGGATACAAATGATTAAAATGTCACTTAATATAGACGTGACGTAGGTACCTATTATAATTTCATAATAAATACCCCTTTTACTACCAAATTTTAATCATTTTCATCTGAAATTACCTGTTTAAATACTTCTTAAAACCTACCTGTGTTTTAATAAAATAATACTGTAGGTAATTCTACGTATTCATAGACTAACCAAAATATGTACTTAATTTAAATTAATGACATTAGCTTTGTGCACTGATTAAGTTAGGTTTACATTACGACAGGATTGCCTAATTGAATCCTAATTCTTGGATCTTATAAAGAGTGATACATGCCGTTCTTTATTTGAGGTAAATTGTCCCAATATGTAAACCCAGCTTAACACAAAAACCATAATACTTAATATTAATATTCCTGTTATTTTTCGAAACTTAAAAAATATGACCAACGAGCCTAACCGAATATTGTGATTCATTATAATAATAAATTAAAGAATATAATAATATCCACAAAGTGTAAACATACATAAGTAGTATTGGCTTGAGAAGCATCAATATATATTTTATCATAAGATTTTATAATAGAAAATAAATAACTTGAAATTAAACATATGCTTTTTAACGTTACATGGCTTGTTTTGATTGTAATTTTAACAAAATGGATATTTCGATTGTAACCTACTAATTATTGTATTATTTTCTATTTTATCAAACGGCTATATCAGGGCTTACTTTGTCTAACAGTCTAAGTTATTAGAGTTTTCTCTACCTTCAGATCGTATCTATCCTGGATAAATCACAGGACCCTTCCTTCCATAAACTTGTAAAAATATCAAAATGTCAGCATTAATATTAATACCTACATACTACACAGTCCTTTAGGAGTTACAAAGCGTCTACAAGAATCTACGTTAATGCACTTACAAAATATGGCCATTTGAGGCCTATGTTCAGATGTAAATTTTGACATGTTTCAAGTCAAAATTTATTGGTAAGGTACCAATAGCTATTAATCGTGAGAACAGAGTTTAAAAATCTTAAGTACGGAGGGTAAAAAGGTAATTAAAACTTACAATTACCTACAGGTCTTTTTTTTGTATAAAACTTTGGGTATTGGTTTTGATTTAGCAATCAGTTAACATTAAGTGCTTCGAAATGCGTAAAGTTCGTATCGATTAAAAAGGTTTCCTTATGATATGGTTCAGTTCACACAAGATTACTTTGGCAATCGTGCTAATTCTAGTCAATTTGTAGTTAGCAAAACAAAGCTTGCAAGTTTGGTAAAAAAATACAATTAACACTATATTCAATCAGTTGTTTTAGTAATTACTTACTTAGCTAAATTTAGTAAACTTAAACAATTGACCTAACATAGTTTTTGCCAACATAACAATTTTAAATAAAAACGTTTTTAGATTTCGATAACACCAAATCATTAGAAGTATTTCATTTTAGAGTATTATAGTTAGACATTAATGCAATTTTATAAGGCTTAATAATGTTATTTATTATTAATAATTATTAGAGTAACTATAAGGAGTTGAAACATTTGGGTTGTGTGGTACCAAAAATCTAACTTTTGCAATTATATAATGGAGATGTTCTTGATAGAATGTTATAGGCATATTATACAGTACCAAATACATCCCTGTTCAAATAATATTTTTAAATGACTTAAGCTTGTATTATCTACTTGAATTATTAAGCATCAGCTTGTGTAAATTACAGGCGAGTGGGTCATTAACCCCCTTTTATTTACTTTTACAAAGTGTTGTCATTTTAGTAAAACCACCTAAGATGTTTTTGCTAATTTTATTGTAGAAATGTCCACTCGCCTTTAAAATATTTAAACATTTATCAAGACACAATGTGAATTAATATAAACAATAATAAAAACTGGATTTGTTATTTTCAATAATTGTGAAATTGTAATTATGTATGAAACCATGTATTATTGTATGAAAGCAATTTAAAATAATTACTGTTTGGCTTGAAAAGCTAGTTATGAGTGCAGGCTAAGCTCTGTAGAATATATAGAAAATTTAATTAAATTTCAATTATTTTTATAATAAAATATGAAATTTACGGTCTCTGCCTTTCATTCCATTAGTATTAAAACCCTAGTCGCTATAATGCAACCTATCTCAACTTCCTATGGGTCTCTGATATCGAAGTCTTATTATAATGACTATATAACTGCTCAATCCCCAAGCCGTCACCACTCTCCACTAGCTCTGTTATAGACTTTATTTCCGATGTTTAGAGACTACTTTTGTATGAACAAAGTTTCGGTACAATATATCTACGTAATAACAAGCACACTTTTTAAACCAAACCATTGCATATTTAAATTTAAAAAAAGTCTTTCTCTAAAACCCCAAAAAGTTGAGTCATCAAAAGAACCAAGTTCTAAATGAACACTTAACAACAAATAGGTAGTCTGTCAAAAATTGCCTGAACAATTGCTTGACATAAGCATATATTATATCATTATAGGCCAATAGACCTAGAGCTACATTAGAGGTTAGCCTTTTTTTATTAGCCTCTAGTGGCCTGAAAATTCTCATCAATAACTCAATAAGATTAATGTCCAATGCATAAAAATCATAAAATAAAAAAGTGAAAAAGTAACAATTACAATTTATTAAACAAAATATATCAATACTTTATACATTAAATTAAAACAAACTAAGTCTTTCTAAGTAAGGCCTAAGAAAAATGTACTTTTAGTACCCCTTGTGTCCCCGAAACCGTCTCCTGTTGTCCAACTGAAAACAATAAATGAGTTTTGATCAAACTTCTATTTTTTCTTCTTTTCTACTACAACTTCTGTAGAACCATTGTTTTAATTAAAGATTTAACTGATGTCACTATCAAGCAGTTTATTTTCTTATAAGAGCATTGAAAAGGATATCTCCCAATTTTGTCCATTATGTCCAATTATTGTAAATAGATAAATGACTGCCTCGTTTAGTCCTCGAGTGGTCGCAAGTGCGACTGCTGGGCAATGGGCCTCGGGTTTGATTCCCAGGTCAGGCAAAGTATTACTGGGTTTTAAAAAAAATCTCAGTAGCAGCACGGAGTCTGGAAACGTGCCCGGTATATGGCAATAGCCTCACCCCCTATTACATGGGACAAATAGCATAAATAGTGAAAAGTGGGTGTTACTTCTGTGTGCACCTCTGTCTAACCCTTCAGGGATAAAAAGCATGCTGGTATGTTAAATGATAAATGAGAATTAAGTAACTTACCAGTGACCTCTTACATTCGAAGAAACTCTGCCTAAGTTGTATACATTCTTCGGGGATGTTACCTTCTTTGAGGCATTCTCGAGGAGTTTTCTTCTCCTAGAACCAAATTTAACAATTAACTTTGTAAATTAAAAGTGTAGTATATAATGAAACAGTTTTTTAAAGCCAGATGCATTAAGACAATACAAAACAATTGAAATACAAAGATGTATGTTTATTTTTTAAAATTATATCCAAGGCAAATTTTGAAATTACCCATATCATTGTTATAATTCATCATGAAAACAATGAAACCGAAAATATTCCCGTAGGAAATAAATTTAACAAAAGTCTGTCAATAACTTTTCATTTAAAATATTATGATTTATGAAGTGCAAAATACTAACCTTTTTGCAGCAGTCGCTTGCAAGCAAACAGATCTTGAGATCAGCTCTGATGCCCGCACATGGCGATTTGTCAGCTAGGCCGACTTCATCCGGAGCATACGTAACCATTTTGAGTTTAAATTGAAGTAATATTCACAGAGAAATTAATTCAAGACGCTCAGGCTTATCAATATCAATAGCTTTCAGTCGGTTTCGTCTGTCAGGAGTGTCAGATCAGATCATTGTCAGTTGTCAGTGTTAGTCAGCCTGCTGTCAGCTATAAAACATGGAAAATAATAATTATGATTTTCTTAAATTCTGTCTTTTTATTTTTACGGGAAGTTATGTTAAAATTATATTCGATTGGTGAAATATTAAAAAGTTAATAGCATATTTATTAATTTTTTGTCATAACCTAATTAATTATGACGATTTTTACAAATAGTTAATCAGAATAAATAGAACATTTGCTTTGTAGTCAACGTTAAATGAAACGTTTGTGTCAAATCTGACATTTCTGATAAGAACATGTTGTTGACATTTTGACAGTTCAATTTGTTCATTGTTCATTTCATTGATATCATTATCAGCTGTTGTTAGACAGTTAGATTGAGTTCAGTGCCCATTGCCCCCAGTGGTTTACTATTTCGTGTCCATGAACTTTACGGCTAATTGAAAATGAGGAAAGTGTTCCCGGTTATTTCTAGAAGCCTTTCACACGTGTGTAGTTTAAAACCGTATAAAGAGACGAAATGGCTGATGCCAAATGGAAATCCAACGGGTGCGTATATTTACAACTGTGTTGCAGACCAGAAAGTTCCAGTAATACTTAACGACCCTCACATAGCCACCTGGTACTCGTGCGGCCCTACAGTGTACGACTCGGCTCACATCGGACATGCGAGCTGCTACGTGAAACTCGACATCATTCAACGAATTATAAAATCATTTTTGAACATCAAACTTGTGACTGCAATGGGAATTACGGATATCGACGACAAAATCATTAAAAAAGGTTTAGAAACTAAGACGCACTTTCAAAATATCGCCAAACAATATGAACACGAGTTCTGGCTTGACATGTCTTCACTGAATATTGAGAAACCTTTAATAATAACAAGAGTGTCAGAACACATCAACTCCATTGAAAGTTTTGTACAGAAACTTATTGACACAGAGATGGCTTATGTCACAATGGATGGTTCAGTTTACTTTGACACAACTAAATATCCATCTTATGGGAAATTACAAAGAGCACAAACTGAAGGAGAAGCAGCTAATGAAGAAAAAAGGAATAAAACTGATTTTGCTCTGTGGAAAGGTCATAAACCTGATGAGCCTTCATGGAATGTGAAATGGGGGAAAGGCAGGCCAGGGTGGCACATAGAGTGCTCAGCTATGGTCAGTAAGGTGTTTGGTTCTCAAATAGACTTCCATGCTGGTGGTATTGATCTTCAGTTCCCCCACCATGAGAATGAGGAGGCTCAGTCATGCGCATACCACAACACTAGACAATGGGCCAACTATTGGATCCATGTTGGCCACTTACATGTTAAGGGTGATACTAAAATGTCTAAATCTCTGAAAAACACTATATCAATACCTGAGTTGTTGAAATCCCACAGTGCAGATGTGTTCAGGATGGCTTGTCTGACATCCAGTTACCGGTACCCAATGGAATATAGTTCAGAAGTAATGAAAACAGCAGAAGAAGTCCTAAACAAATTCAAATTCTTCTTAAAAGATGCATTCATTTATGTCAACAACAATGCAGTCAGCAATGGGGATTACAAAGATAAGATTCTAGATGATCTACAGAAGATTGAGGAGGCTAACATTGAGGCTTTGAAAAATGATTTTAATACTGCTGTTTGTATAAATAATCTCCTTACTTTAGTGAGTAATGCTAACAAAGTGATTAGGTTAGACACTTCAGAGTACTACCCGGTACCTATTGTGTTAATAGCTGAATATGTAACTGACATGTTGACAAAATTTGGACTAAAACTGCAGGAGTCTGCACAAGACAGTGTATTGTCTAACTCTCTAATAGATACTCTTGTTGAATTCCGACATACTGTGAGATTAAATGCCCTCTCTAGGAAAGATAAGGAGGTACTACAAGCATGTGATATTGTTAGGGATAAAATGAAGAAAATGAAAGTACAAATCAATGATAGCAATAAAACCTCTTCTTGGGTTTCTGTAAAATAACTCGTGAAGTAAGGTTGTTATGTAATGTAAAATTTTGTGATAACTTAAAATCAAATCAACTATGATATTTCCTCTAACTTATAATAAGTTCTCTGTCACTACACTATTAGTTTTATTGTAATCATTTGTTATTGTATTTTTCCAATCCATTATGAGATTAGAACATGTCCATAAATAAAGCAATAATATGCCCTGACCTTATTTTTATCAAATGATTTTACTACAGGGCTTTACTCTATCAGTACTACATTGAAATCAATAATGTTCTAAATATAGTGTAGTGTAAATTGTGTAAATAATAAACTGACAAATAGTACATGTTAAGATATTGAAATAAAAGTATATCTCCACTGTTCATTAAAGTTTTTATTTTCATAATTTACTTACATTCAAGTCCATGACTAGACTATGATGAAATGAGATTTCCAGGGTCTATGTCACAAGTATAGAATACAAACTAAAAAAGAAAAGTTTAATGGCAAGTATGATATATTGTTCAGGGTTCACATTTTGTGTCATCTTGTTTTTGGTATAATTTTGACAATAATTATGTGATTTTTACATTTTGTTTTAATGAGGAAACAATCATTTTCTATGCTCACAATCACCAGAGACAGCGGGTGAATTCTAAACATAGCAATGTTATAATCACCATCAGTCTTATAATAATTTCACATATATATTACTTTGTTCAAAAAACCGATTCCTTATAAATACATGAGCGCAGTTCTAAACAAACATTAAGTACAATTGACACAACAATTAGAAATTCAACAAGATAAAGATTTTAGTATACTACAAGCTTCGTTATATTGAGTTCGGAAATCCACTATGGAATGTTAACTGACCATTAGCAACACTATGCCCAATCCAAGAACGTCGAAAAGAAGGCGGACATAATATTACTTGGAAATGATTGAAGCACCATTTGTCAGTGGTTTTTTTATGTGCGGGTGTGTATGTTTTACATTACCAGATGTCCTTTGTGTCAATGTGTCTATGTTCGGCGTATAACTCTATAGTAGCCAGGTGCCACAGTCGTTGTTTCAAGAGATTGTGTCCGCCTTTCTTTCAACGTACTTGGCCCAATCTCTAAACAATATATTGCATCTTACCTATTTACTGAAAACTTTTTGCTAAAGAGTTTCGCTTAGGAAGAAATTCTTCTTACACAAATAAACATTTAAATATCACATAGAGAAAAACAATAAAAAAAGAATCCTTTGGTACTTATAAGATTAAATCTTATTTCATAAGTGAAACTGTGGAAGACTGTGGAGAATATTGACGAAAATACATTAATTAATCAGTAAAAAAATGGGCATAAGCGAGTCCAAACATTACCCTTTTAAACCGCACGACTAGTATAACGTAATTACCGAATCTACCGACTATAACTATTTCTGCAAACCGATACTACATACATACACAAAATTCATACAAAAACAATACAACGAAGCTGGCAACACAGAGGAAACAAATTTTGTGCGCGGGAAACATTCAATCTTAGGAATATAGATTATCACTTAATTGGGCACAGAATGTAAGGGGCCATTTTTATCCTGTATCATATTTTCTGCTTTATAGACTTTCCAGGCGACTAGATAGTCTCGGACCATTTTGAACAGTGTGTAATAGTTTATGAAGAGTAATATGACTATAGCTAGGAAGTTGTGCCATTGTATAGAACTGAATAGTAGACACAGCTGTAGTATTATTAGTGACAGCTGTAGGCATAACATGGCGCAGAGTAATAGTGAGGGGTTCGCGAACACCGTCTGGAAAAAAGATTTTAAAATTAATTTTATCCTTGAATTGGACCAAGTATGGGGTTCTCTGATTCTCAAAACATGAGTTAAGAGGATTCTGGGTGCGTAGTCTTGAAACCAATCTCAATGTCAATGCAATTTTAATCCAATAAAATCTCAATAATTATTCAATGTAAACACTATACAACCCCTATCATAGCTGTCAAAATAGCATTCAGAGTATGGAATACAAAACCAAACTCAATACCATTTAGTTCATTCAATATCCACGCAATACGGATACAATGGGCGCTAGTGTTTCAACTGACATTGAATAATTATTGAGATTTTATTGGATTGAAATTGCATTGATATTGAGATTGGTTTAAAGAGTAAGCACCCTGATCTGAACTGGCTATTTATTTTATACAGCACTGACATTTTTTTTATTTCAATATAGTGCAGCTGAGGGTAGGATATTATACCACTAGAACCGTCGCATGCGCGTTACTGACGCTGGAAAACCTATTAACTTATTCTTTGTAACCCTATTCAATATAAAATCCTTTATAAAAACCTTGGTAACTTTACAAAATGACTATATTATTTTTTAAAAGTAGTCGATTCTTACATGGAAGCGAGTATGCGCGGCTGTGGTGGGGTCGGCGGCGACGGTGGGCGTGGCCGCCACGTACACGCGGCCGCCGCACGACACGCGCGCGCCGCGGGACCACATGCGCTCCGCGGACCACGCCTGGACCTCATTGCCTTCTGTACAGATATAGAGCGGTTGATTAGTTTAGAATTTGGTATTCTCCATCTACAATACATATCTTATTATGGGTTAAAGTGCGAATGAGCAGACGAGTCGCCTAATAGTACCTTACTTAGGTACTATTAGAGCCGCACATAGACCTCAAAGAACTAAGTCTTGCGTTGATATTCTACAGACTATCTCTTTTGAATTTCATCATCCTCTACCTTTTCAACGATCAACATCTTACCTCTGCCGGCAGAGGGAAAGAAAATGCCTCAGTTAAGACTAAGATATACTTAAATTTTATACTTATTATGCATAATATGAAACCCTTCAGGGTTTACCCCATAAAACGCTTATTATACTTAATTATGTAAAACATCACGGAGCTGAGCAGACCGGTTGATAGGACCGGAGGAGCTACTGGTAATATAAAACTGACCTGTACAAGAATTATGATCAGGTTTCCACCGTCCGAGATGTAGCGCGGACCGGTGCGGCACGTCGCAGTACGTCGCACTGACGAGCTGGCTCACGTACCGAGCGAATAGACCCGCCCATACAAACGCGGTCTGTTGTGACGCTGCGTATACCTCGTAGTAGAGATATGGCTGGAAATGTAAGAGAGTTATTATTATTATTAAAGAAGAGTTTAACTCGTTGAGTACCGTCAATATAGACACAATTATAGAACAATAGGTTGCGGTCACCGGTGACCGCTTGGTGTTTGACAGTTGCCTGAGGACTCCCTCTCGCCTAACTCCAGGCGGGAGAAGACAATTAAAAACATGCCTCATCAAAAAAAAAAAATACCTGAGGGACTAGTTTGATAGTTGCATAGACTTTGGATTTACTTTACTTTACTTACTTTATCGTGTTGTGTTAGTAGGACAAAATAAATAGTAATTATAGTAGTTAGATGTAAAATCTTAGTATCTTTACTTATGTATTAAATGCGCAAATTACTTTAGCTTCTTTCTGAATTAATATTGATAAAAGCCACTTAAGTACATCCGAATACTGAAAGGTTCAATTATTAGTTGTACTTACTTAAATGTCGTGCCATCTCTGTCATTTTACAAAGAATTTGTTGTGACAGAACTATAGTTAAGCGCGAATTAAAAGTGAGTGTCGTTTGAGTATTTGGACATTAATTGCATAGACGAAATGGCAACCGATAAATAAATATTATGTTTTTATTAACATAAAATGTCTGTCTTTATACATATAGTCTGGTCAAAGCATTACCGTTTTTTATCTTGCGGGAAGTGTACAACTTCCGTGGCGTGGGAACAATACTGTCGCCTACCGCAAAAAACAAAAGGGTCAGTGCTCCAGTAGTGGACCACGCATTAGTGGTTGACTAATTACAAATTCTAGTTACATTAACCCGTGGTATACCGGCCGGAACATAGACCCACGCGAGACACAATGTGTTTTCTATTGGGTCTCATATATTGCCATAGGTAATTCTATTTAGGTACAAGAGGTTAAACGAATAACTTCGGTGACCGAAACTATAGCCACTATAGGTATCAAATAGGGTAGATGACTAATTTTTATTTTAATGTCCGTCTGATAGATTATTTTAAAACATTAAACGCGTATTTTTTACTTTGTACAGAAACGAATACTTTCGACGATATATTGATTTGAAATGTCACGTGACGTCACTTCTATGTACATTTTATACGTAGGAATGACGTTTTAGCCCCCACTCCTAAACTTTGATTCGTTATATCTAAGTATCATTTTATTATACAACAAAATAAAAAAATACGTGTCTAATATTTTTTCGTTACCTAACTGACGGACTAATTAGATTTTTAATTTTCTTACTCCGCCATCATCCCTATTCAAATTCATTGTAAAATTCCAATATTAAAAGAATAACTTAGGCGATCTAAGCTCTACTAAATTAAACTTTACTAACCTGTGCAAAAGTGCAAGGTATAAAACTGGAGTAGTAGGCTCCAACAACGGAATTGAATATGATTTTCTTCATCCTGTCATTGAAATCTTGCCGTAACGCTTCCACTTCTGTCCGTATCTGTGCAGCGTCGTGTGTACAACAGTGTAGTGGAGGGTCGCTTGTGTTCAACTCTAGGAATGGAGCCGACTGGAAACCGAATAGCAGGAAGTATATCACGGCCCTGGAAAGGAGAACATTTTGTTATAACTCGTTATTGGGACAATTGAGTATGAAGGCGTCTTGTTAAATCCCTATTTTAGATAAAAAAAAATGTAATTGAATTCTTATTTTGAAATATTTTCATCTGAATAATAAAATATCCATACATACTTTCACACTAAAATCCACTCTATACCTTCGTTTTATGGTTGATTTTTGAATGGCACACAATGAATAAGACTGCAATTAGATAATGACATGCCTGGTATACTCACGGGTATAACAAATAGAATATTTTTACGACTGGGTACTTTAGCACGATGAAGTACGTGCACCACGATAGAGCGCCTAGCACGACACCCAATATGAACATCCTGAAATCAAGAGTATGAATGATAATAAACAACTTCCTTCTCCATTAAACCATTAAGAATACTATAAAGAAAGCAATAAGTTCCATAATTACCTGGCAGCTATAGTAGCATGTGGCATCAATTTTGGCGCGAGGATACCTCTCAGTATTGCTAAACTGATACTTAGTAATAGTTTCCGGAATATTATTGTCACTATAAACGCCACCAAGTGAGGGTCGATCAAATAGAAATTCTGAAAATAAAAGTATTTTAACTTTAGAAAATTCGTTTTCATACTTTCCTGAAAATTTACGATGTTATAGTTGATTTTAAATGTCACATGATATCACTTTTACATACAAAACAAATGGTATACTGTGGGTTTTTTTAAATATTCACAAGTGGCACGGAGTCTGGAATATGACAATAGGCTCACCACCTAACATTACGTGGGACTCCTAACATAAATAGTGAAAAGTAGATGTTACATTGCACAGTGGTATTAATCTTTTGTGTGTCTAAACATGGACCCACGCGAGACACAATGTATTATCTATTGTGTCTCAAATGGGTGCATTCAAGAGGTTAAGTGCTGTAACATGCACCTCTGCCAATCCCTTCGTGGATAAAAGGCGCAATATTGTGGTACTTTTACCTTAATTACATATTTAGAAACAGCCTTGAAGGCCTTATCAGAATATCAATAGGGAACCTTAAATTAGATATATGTCCTTGTAACTTGTATAACAAATGACTCATACAAACATAGATAGTCATAAAGATTAAAGTCAAGATATTAGGTCATATTAGATAATAAAATAAAAATAGTTACATATATACATACATACATACATAACATCACGCCTGTCTTCCATGGGGGTAGACAGAGACTATAGAATATTGGAATGCTAATTACTACGATTCCTACATACCTCACCTAAAAATAGTTTCTGAATAATAAAAATGCATTTTGGTTTCCATTAACGGGCAAATGTTTTGCCAGCTTTGACTTTGTACAGAACATGAATCTACATACTTACTATTGTAAAAAAAACTAAATAATAAAGAAATATTTCGCTTTAGATTATGTAACAAATTACAAATTCAAACTTTGGTTACCAAAGTCATCGTTGCACAATGTAGAGCAGAGGGTAGACTGATAAATGAATAATTAAGAGCACAATTTGTTTCTATGAGTATTTTTTTTTAGTGGGGAAAATCATCGAATGACTGCTCCCGCCTGGGTGAGGCGGGAGGGAGTGTCAGACTCTTACTGACTAAAAACCACCCCGTTCCTTCTCCTGCACGTCGAGTCGGAGCCCCGGTTACCTGTTAGGTTCTCCGCGACATTTCTATGAGTATAGGATAGTTTTAACTGTTTAATCCCCAAGCGGTCACCAGTGACCGCTCTCCACTAACTCCATTATAGACCTTATTTCCGATATTTAGAGACTTCTTTTGTATGAACAAATTTGGGGTGTGATATATCAACATTATTAATTTAATCCATGTAGAAATACAAATACAGCAGTAGTGTAATTTCCTACATAAAATTCCTTCCTTCCTATACACATAATTATATTTATGTACTTGTATTGGTATAAATCCACATTCATTGAGAAAAAATATTGTAATGACAAAGAAAATTAAATAATACACAATAAAGAGACAACACACAAAGGCAAACTACAGGGTGACTTGACCCTGTATATAAAATTGTATGTAAATTTGTTGGTCCCTTTTTGAAGCTTGTTCCAAAGATGAGATTCCTATTTAAACTGTCAAACACCAAGTGGTCACCGGTGACCGCAACCTATTGTTCTATAATTATGTCTATAATGACGGTACTCGACGAGTTAAACTGTCAAACACCAAGCGGTCACCGGTGACCGCAACCTATTGTTCTATAATTATGTCTATAATGACGGTACTCGACGAGTTAATCTATCCTATACTCATTTATTTATTTATATAAAACCTTACCTAAACTATCATGACAGGTTTCTCCATTGCGATAGCTAGGCCTTAAAAAACAAAATCTACGTTATGTCCAAATATAACAAAATATAGAAATAATATGATATGCTCTTAATTTGAATTTATCAATCTACCCTCTCTTCTAATTAACAATTCACATGAACTTACCATAGCCTGATTTGTGTATGAATGAGGTAACCACCAGGCTGTTCTGTATAGATTCAAGAACTGTAACCCAGTTGCCACAAGAGTGAAGACAAATGTCATAGCTTCAAAGAGCAGGTTGCCATCTTGTGGTATGTAGGGGAAGGGGATGTGTTTTGGTGCTACTGGCACATCTGTCAGCTTCACTTCTGAGACAGCATTTGGAGAAGGTGTGGGAGCAGCTCTTGAAGATCGAATCTTCTTGCCACTGCCATTTATTTCCTCATCGGCAACTGCGAATGCACCCTGCAATGTAACAGTAAATTGTTACTATTGGAAACTTACATTATTATTATATTTTTTAAATGAAATTATTGGTTTATGATTCAATAAAAGGAATTTGTATTTATTACAATAACTAAACATTAATTAACAAGAAATAGTTATCTACTACCTACCTACCTTCTCAATTTAGTATTAACAAGATTATGTACACTTACACTATTAAAGAAGACCAAGATGAAATAAAGAAGACCAATGTAAGTCAATTATCTGGCTCCAGGACCTAACAGATGGATACTCGACCTTACCTTCTTATTTACACCAGAAGTTTTTTTAGATCCGGGTGGCATCATTTTACTTGTTATCTGCGGCAGGGGCCGCTTGATAAGCGGGTCTTTAATGATTTTTCGCCGCCTAGAGACGGCTGTAGACGAAGTATTGCTAACTTGGGAGTTCGCCCAGCGTCTAGCCAGGAGTATGGTCAGGCAGCCAACGACCGCTGGTAAGAAGAACACGACAAAAGGGCCACTTTCATTTTCCGTACAACTCATCACTCACATGTTAAAATGTTTATTAAAAAGTCACAATATTGTTTTATTTCGCTTATTTCCGATCAACACACAGCACAGTCGATCTGCCGAAGAAATTCAACAGTTGTCAAAATATTTTTTTAATTTTCTCATATGTATAACAAGGAAACACACATTCAGCCAAAAGATAACAGCCTTTTTCAACATCTAAGCAAAAAGACATGTATTCAGTACACGTTTTTTCCGCGAATTTGACGTTTGTTTATTTTATCTGCATTTTGACGCAATCGATTTGCCAATTTTTTCAATGTGAATGTGTAATGTGATGCCGGCTTTAACTTATTATTATCCTAAAAATGTAAAATACTACATGTATTTGTTATTGTAAGGCTATAGAAAATTGCCGCAATGTCTTTTGCAATACTCTGCTCACTGGTTATAACTTTTTATGTTGTCATTTGGTTCTTTGACTCCTTTTTCAAGGTATTATTTTCTAAAATGATTATGAAATAATTTATCTTGTTATGTTATTGATTGAATTTTTTGTTTATTTCAGAGTTGTATGCATTATCCGTATTATGCATTCTTGGAAGGGACTGGTTTAAAGATAGGAATACTAAACTTCACATGGACAACAACGGCTTTCAACAGGTTTTTATATCGTTGGAGTAAAAATTTAACTCGTATCCTTCGTAAATGGTATACGTGTGGGTACATTTTCACTATCTGGATATTCCTACCATTCGCTATATGGACCTTGCTAACATTCATATTCGAGCATTTTTATGAGACCATTCAAATCAGCAATGTACCTGAAATCAAGGCCATGCTGCCTGGTGTAAACATTCCGGCGTCAGATTTCTGGGTGTACTTTTTAGCTATAGGATTTAGTACTGTATTCCATGAATTGGGCCATGCACTGGCTGCAGCTCAAGAAGATGTGCAACTTATATCTGTAGGTGTATATGTATTTACTATAATACCAATAGCATTTGTCCAAATGAATTCTGATCATTTGAACACATTATCTGTTACCAAAAGATTGAAAATATTCTGTGCAGGTATATGGCACAATGTTGCTACTGCATTTGTGGCCTTACTGTTGTTCTTCTCAGCTCCCATTTTATTTAACATAGCTTATGAAACAGAGATTGGTGTTCAGATAACAGGCTTTACTGATGATTCACCTTTAAGAGATACCAGAGGTTTGATACAAGGTGATGTTGTCAATTCAATAAATAATTGTGAAATAAAAAATGCCAATGACTGGATCTACTGTCTCCACATGGCCCATGATCGGTATGGTATCTGCACTAGTGCAGAATTTGTGTCTCAAAACGATGAAATTATGATGGAGACCATAAGGGAAAATGATGTGGTTGAATGTTGCCGTAAAGATGATTTATACAGTTTCTGTTTTGAATATTTGGAGCCAAAAGTAGTAGCTGACTCAGTGTTGCCAGGTCAGTACTCGTGCTTGAAACCCAGAGATATGATCAAAGAGAAGTTTACAAAGTGTACTGAATCTGGTGGCTTCTCTTGTCCGAGAGGCATGCACTGCTTGAGGCCTTCATTGAACAATCACACATATTTGATAGTCATTGAAAGGAAGGACAAACATGCTGTCCTATATTTAGGGTTGCCCTATGATTTACATAAGACAGTGTTCATTGACCAGTATTTTCCTAGAATGGCACTATTCTCTTTCTTCTCTCCCTCTCAGTTTGAGAAACTGCTGAGGTATGTATTTATGTTTTCTATGGGCATAGGATTCTTGAATGTGGTTCCCTGTTATGGAATGGACGGTCATCACATAGCAAGGAGCTTGATACAAATATTAGCAAAATATTTAAATAAAAATGGTGATTTTGTGACATTTTTTACAGTATTTACTGTGGTTGTTGGTACCGGTGTGACAGTGCCTACATTAATTTATGTATTCTACCAAGCTGTTACATTAGGTGTAGACTAATTTGTATCAATTTTAGTATAAGTGATTGATTGCTTTGACAAATATAAAGTCTGATATTCTAGAGTATGTTAATGAACATAAGATACAGCAGCAAAAATAGAAATACAGTTGACTTTGGTTAAATAGTGTGGTTTTCTAGGGTCCTTGAGATAACTTCAAATTATAGGGAAGGTTGAATTATCAAAGGTTTTAATTACCGAGGGTCAACTGTATTTATGCATTTAAGTAAATAATAGAGTGTCCAATACAAATTAGCACAACTGGACTTAAAACAAAGTGACTTGGCATTTAAAAAATGTTTTATTTTGTAAATATCTAAATTATGTGATAAGCTTTAGTATGAATTGTTTTATTATTATAATTTAAACACAATTTTAGTCGTAAAAATGTAATGAAATAAAAAAGTTTTGTACTATAAACACAGTTTCATTATTAACACTTTTTTAAATAATTTATATGTTCCATACACTATCACAGATTACTACACTCTATAAAAAACAATGTTTCAATAATTTAATACTATAACAATAGAGATTTTTAACTTTTACTCAAAGACAAGGATTTTTGTAAATCTTTCAATGATTTTTGTCCATGATGAAGCATGACTTTGATGGTGGTTTCATCTTTATGGTGCATGTTGTTTCTGAAGTCCGATCTGGCCCATTCCCTTAAGTCAGCCCTTGTGGTCTCATCTGGAATTTGTCTGAGTGTCCTGAAGATTTGTCTGTATAGTTTCAAGACTTCTTGGCGTAGAAGAAACTGAAAATATAAAATATTGAAGTTAGTATAATGTTACAATATAATCTACTGTTTCATCATACAACATCAACAGCCTATACAGGTCCATTACTGAGCAAAGGCCTCTTTGCACAAGGAGAAGGTTTGAGCATTAAACTGTCAAACACCTAGCGGTCACCAGTGACCGCAACCTATTGTTCTTTAATTGTGTCTATAATGACAGTACTCAACGAGTTAATCAGTATACTTGCTCAATGCTGGGAGGCGCTTTCAAAAAGCCTAAGCTTCCTCACGATATTGTCCTTCACCGTTAGTCAATAGTGCCTAAATAATCTTAAAATCAACTTGATGGGTCCACTTGTGTTTACATTTATCCCAAAGTGGTCACTGGTGACCATTCTCACTAACTACATTCTAGACCTTATTTCCGAGTTTTAGAGACTATTTTTGTATGAACAAATTAAGGAGATAATATTTCAACAATAAATTAAACTTATGGTCGTTGCCATTCAACCAGTTATGGTTAACCTATCACAATAGGAAATAAATTCAAAGAACTTAGCAGGCAAATATTTAAATACAACACCATTCAAGATATAGTTAAGAAAGAACCTACGTTAGTCAATAACTGAAACGAAAAGAGTTATTATTAGTTACCTGTTTCAAACTCAGAGTACTTTTCGGTAATTTGGTTGACATTCTTCTTTTTTTTAATTAATTCTTGTTTGCTTTTATATACACTAATTAACGAATTCAATTGTTGTTTATTACATTACTTTCTTAGATTTTCATTTTGCGCTGTAAATAAAAAAGCCCGAGTGCAAGTTTATAAATATAACCTATAATCATACGACAGCCGGACAGCTGTTTTTGATATTATGACATATGCGTTTTGTTTATCATTTTACTTAAATTTGTGACTGGCTTCTAATAAATAAAAATTACTAGAGTCCATTTCACGAAAGAAGTCCCGCAGACGCAGCGCTGTATTCGCGCGACATAATGTTGCCACGATTAAATTTATATAGTATGGGGAAATCAAAAGAAATTGTTTATAGTTCATTAGTTTAATTTAAATAACTACGTACTCGACCAGTTCGAGGAATATTTTAAAAATAATGTCTTTTTTATATAGGTATTTATGTTTATACTGCTAAGGTCAGATTAGCGAAAAATTAATCTTCCTGTAATTTCTAAAATATAAAATGGAAATAAAGATGTTCAACCAACATCAAATTAGAAACATAAAATAACATTTAAAAAGTTTTATTTAAAGTTTTATTGAATAATTATGATCGGTCATACTATGATCACTGTCAGAAGAGTGAATAGAAACAGAATTAGATTCTATTTCACTATCACTAGCCGTAGATATAATGAATCGATCCATTTCTTAATCCATAAGACCATCATTTTTTAAATATTCTTCCTCCAAATGCTGTACATTACATGTTTGCATTGAACTGCCCAATCTTCCGCTGTAGCAGTCTCGAAAGCCTCTTCTGTAAGGCGTACAATTTCTTTTGGATCTTGGCCCATGTTTTTATCGGCTACCCGTCTTTATAACACACAACTCTCCGACATAGCTGCAATAAAATTAACAATTAAAAAAAATCTAACAGTGGCTATTTCCGCATTTAATTACATTATTGTTGAATACAACTTAACAAATTTTTGTTGTGTTATGTTAATTCCTCATTAAAATAACTTACGTCTAATTGGTAAAAAATATGTTTAATATGGCAGCCCCAAAATTTACCTGTTATGGCAGCGACTCTTTTGCGAACATTGTCTAATGGTATTAAAACGCCGCGATTCTTCTGTTCCGCTTCACAGAACTCTTTCAATTTTAATATAATTTCTCGACCTGCACTTTTTACAACTTTTGGCATCGTAAATAAACCTTATAACGCACTAATTTAATAATAAACTCACAAAATATCTTCCACAACAAACGCACCTTGACAACATCCACAAACGACAACATGGCCGAACTCCCCATTTGTCAAATTTAGTTCCACAATTGTCCGCGGGACTTCTTTCGTGAAATGGACTCTACCTATTTGTGAATAAATTTATGCAGATAAATAAAATTGTCTGTTTGTAAAGTGGTTTGTAATATTATAATAACCGTTTTTTACTTCATGCTTATGAATATATAATTATTATGATACCCATACTAAAATATTTTTTTCACTATATTTGTCTGTCTGTCTGTTTGTACTGGTCAACCTCTGGAATGGCTGGAGCGATTTTGACCAGACTATTATTGGCAAGTAGCTGATGTATTACAGGCATTGAAAAACAAAAAGAGTTATTTAATAATTCATTTTTTTGTTTTTCTTTTAAAACTTTGCCCTTACACTAGGATTGTCTCCTTGTGTCGTGGATGCGTTTACAAACATACAAGTTCACAAATATAGGACACCCAGACCCGGAACAAAATTTGTAGATCACACAAGGAGTTTCTCCATGCGGGAATCGAACCGTACCGTGCCAACCGTGCCATCCGTCGGTATTCTACGAGTACGTGGACAAAGTCGCGGGCAACAGCTAGTTGATATATAAAGTTAATGCCCATACCCAAGGAAATATCCATATACCCAATTAATGCTCTTTGCTCTTAGCCATCGAGAAACACTAAACTTGTGACATCCAGTTCAGTAACATCACCGGTGTTATGCCCTGAAAAGGTAGGCAGAACTAGATCCAAGTTTGAAAAAAAAATCTGTAAAATATAAAAAGTTCCCCTGGGATTCCATTATTAGATCCCTGTTTTGATGACAATGGGACCAAATGACAAGCCTACCCTTTAAACAAAAAAAGAATTTTTGAAATCGGTCCAGGCGCCTTTTTTTTAAGGGGGCAAAATCATCGAATGACGACTGCTCCCGCCTGGGTGAGGCGGAAGGGAGTGTCAGATTCTTACTGACTAAAAACCACCCCGTTCCTTCTCCTGCACGTCGAGCCGGAGCCCCGGTTACCCGTTAGGTTCTCCGCGACTCCGAGGTCCAGGCGTTTTCGAGTAATCGAGTGACAAACATAAAAAAATAAATAAAAGAAATACAGTCCAAATGAGAACCTCCTCCTTTTTGCAGTCAGTTGAAATAATAATTAATTTACAGATACAAGTTCTAACGTTAATAATATTCTTTTGAATTTGTCATATCAACTCACTATTTAAACAATTGATATAGAGATCATTCACATCAACATCATGGTGTTCCAGACTATAGAAATAAGCATTAGACCAAGAATGAGAACACTGAAGAGGTCGCTACTTACCTAGGTAAGTAGGTACTCGTACATTTTCGTAGATGACCGAATGAGGTCATTATCTGTAGTTCAGTACATGATACATAAAATGTAGGTACCTTTAAGATAATAACATAAGGCAATAAAACTCAAAACAATGAATTCGTTGTCTGTCTGTGTGATTGTGCTCACTATATATAACAGATACATTTTAACCGAATTTTACTAGCTATTACCTGCAGCGTCACCCCCGTGAGGTCGGAACAAAAACTTGGTTTACTGCACGATTGGCGTGGTAGCTGGGCAAGTAGAAGATTCAATTCCCGCAAGGAGCAACTCTTTGTGCGATCTACAAATGGTTTTCAGGGTCTGGATGTGCTATGTGTATGTGAACTTATCTATATCTTTGTAAACGTACCCACGACAGGAGAAAATCATTTTTTTAAACGTTGCCCCACATTAGGGTTATCTCCTGTGTCGTGGGTGCGTTTACAAACATACAAGTTCACATACACATGACACCCAGACCCGAAACAACAATTTGTGGATCAAATAAAGTGTGGTTCCGTGCGGGAATCGAACCCGCGACACGTTGCACGGCAGCCGGTTGCCCAGCCACCGCACCAACCGTGCAGTCAGGGGTTTAAAACTAAAAGTGTTCTCCAGCTTCATTACTTAACTTTTTTATAAATAGTTTTCGCGCTTGTGTGCAAATACGATTAAGATTTTCGGACAGACCACCGAACCCAGTGTGGGCAACAGTCGAAGGGCTAAGACAGATTTTATATGAAAAAAAAACGAGGCCCACCTAGGCCAATATTAAAGACTTTTATATGGAATAGGAGGCAAACGAGAAGACGGATCACCTGATGGTAAGCGATCAACGCCGCCCATGGACACCCGCAACACCAGAGGAGTCACAGGTGCGTTGCCTGACTTTTAAATGGAGTGCGCTCTTTTCTTGAAGGTTTGAAGGTCGTATTGGTAGACTGTTCACCCTCAACCAAACGTCGTGCTACGTCCTATTGCAGGAGTAAATAACCGACGTTATGATCACGATCGCTCTGTGAAGTATGTAGGAACTTAGGTAGGTACTACGTACGACTGACGAGAAAGCTAAGCTAATCCCATAAAATCTCCACTTACGACGTGAAACAAATATTCTCATTGTTATTTCGATTTATTTTTGTACTACGAAAATAAGAATAAAGTTAATTTTGTAATTTACAGTAATCCTATAACAAAACAGGGAAATATGTAGATAGATACTTAGATACAAATTCGTAAATCATATCTATAGTTTGCTAAATATTCTATTGTAAAAACTGCCTATGGAAAATCTCTTTAAAACTTTATGAAATGGAGTTTAAATCTTATACAGTTACAATGACATTCTTTATCAAAGCCAAGTTGCCTGTGAAACGTAACAATATCATTAAACAAAGCGAGGGGTTACTTTACACATGATGCTTTGAAGTGGACGAAAGTTAACCGCCCATGCGCTGTGTCCGGTCCGTAAGCTCCGCCCTAGGTCCGACAGTTCGCGGGAAAACGAGCTTTTTTCATGGCGCTCAACAAAGCGACCAATCATGGCCGACGTCAGTCGCGCTGCGATCGCCGCGTGGACCGCACGTCTCGTAACCGTGTCGCTGCTGCGCGCATAATATAATGTTTACGCGAACGCTAAACTTGGACAAGAAAAACTTTTGAAAATTTTCTGTAAATATTTTTTCAGTGTTATTCTCGTTGTATAATAATTCTAGTGACTCTGTATATTTAAGATGGACAGTAAAACACCTACCAATCCCTCATCACCGCCAAGGGCTCAAGTGAAAAAAGAAAATGAAGAAGAAATCAAGGTAAGGTTTAGTTACAAATATTTTTGCCGACATTGACGTGGGTTTCCGTTGGAAAACCATCATCGTGTTACAGTTTCGTCTTATTGGCAAGCGGCCTGTTTCAGCCGGTCTCGTAATAAGAGACGACCGAATCGTATTTTTAAATTCGATATTTATTCATCTCGATCTGCGAGGGGACCTCTACAAAGGTTCGAGTCTCGGGGTTACGCCGAATAAATTATTCGGTGTTATATTTCAATATTAATTACATTTTGCGATACACAATAAAACGCGTGTAATATCACGTTTTCGAGGCCTTTTCCAGCCATTAAAGTGTGTAACGCGATATCCGAAGCGCGCTCGGATCGCTGTAACCAGAGTCGCTGGATGTTTTGATAATAGATATAGGCGGCGCTGCTGTGTTAGTGTGTACTGACTGGCAGCACGATAGGTGTGTGCGTGCGGGGTAATTTTAGACGTTCCTTTGCTCAAAACGTAACTCGAGACCGTCCCAGGCCACAAGCCGACGCTTCAATTTATTGTTTTCATCTGTTTATCGTAATTATGGACGTATGGTAGCGTCGTCTGTGCGCATTATTGTCGCCGATGGTCGGCCGCCCCCGTGGATTCGCGCGCTTTTATTTTGGCGCCACGGAAATAGTTTGACATGTCAATAACCTCATTGGCGTTGTCCACGCGTTGGTGACGTCACAGGACTCACGCGACGATTTGTTACTAAAAATTTGAGGTCGATTTAATTTATTGCATTAGTCGCTTCTCTGTCCTACTTACAAAGGTATCTTTTTTATTTTTAGTATTTTTATTACAGAGATCAGAATAGTAAAGTGAGGATTTGCGCATTATTTCTACGTAGCAAAATGTAAAAAACTTCAAAA